CACCACTGGAAAAAAGGTATTTTTTTGTCATTCGTAAATCAAAATTTCAGGTTATTGAGTCCACGCAATAACCTGAAATTTTGATTTACGAATTTCAAGTTCTTACCTCAGTTTCAAGTAATTTCATCAGTAGTTTGAGAGACATAACAACGTGAAACTTTGACTTACGAACGACAAAAATTGGTTTAAAGTTTTTTTTTCACTGGTGGAAATAAGTTTGCATATTTCACACTTTAAGAAAACTTTGCTTTGAGTTTGGCAGAGGATCTAAAAGTTCAGCCAAAGGGACAAATTTCCTTTCTGTCTGAGTCCGTGTTTTTCCTGTGATCCAGTCACAGTCTTTGCTTTGTAAAAATCATATTTGCACTTCGAGGACGAGCAGGTCTGTCGCTGCCTCTGAAATCAGGTCATGTCCGAGGAGAAATCGAATCGCTGACCTTGGGTCGGGTGATTTTATTTATACGCCACATGTCATAGCACGTATACAGGTGTCAGTGTGCTTGAAACTAAAAACATAACCCTCTCAGGCTCAAATGAACTCTTTTGTTGCTAATGCACAACCAAGTCCTGCAGTGGTACTTCTGAGTAAAAAAACTCAGGTAATCAGGTTGTTAGTTTTTAACTGTTGCAAATCGGCAACGCCCGCCTCGAGACGGTTAAGGCAGTAAAAACTAAACAAACTTCACAAAGAAGTAACATACAAGCCTACACACACACATTGTGAAGCAAATGGATCACTGCAGTGTAACCTTGTGTTCTTGTTTCATCATGTGTTTACATTTCAACTAACAAATCAAACTCACAGGCGACCAAAAGAAGCCGCTGATGTAACTGTTTTCTGTCCCTTCAGCGGTCGATGAGATCAGGTTGGACGTGCGGATTGAGGAGAGTGTGACCACTCCTGTAGGAGGTAATAAAGCATTTACAGCTGAGCAGGCTGTGATATGCTGGGTTCAGAGTCATGAACCCAGTCACGACCTGCTGTGAAAACACCGAGTGTGTTTTTGTTGGCTCGAGAAGATAACGACTGCTCTGTCTCCATCTCTACAGCCCAGGACTCCTTCGATGTGGCCGTTTACTATTTAGGACAGGAGGTGCTCAAACGTCAGATTCAGGGCACCGATGTGCGGATAACGTACCTGCCCTCCTCGCCTATTCCCCCCACGCCACTCGTCCTGAAAGCCAGGTTCCCACGCATCCCGCTACCCGAGCCGCCCTCCACGTTGCCGGCCGGTCCGGAGCTGCAGGCCCTCTTCACCCTGCTCCCCTTCATGGAGAAAGGGGTGGTGCTGACCTCCACTCAGCAGGGAGTTTACGGCAAGAGGTTCTGCCAGGGGCGGGTCTTCTGGACAGGGCCGCACACGACCATGCCGGACCTGCACAAGATGGAGAGGAACACAGAGCCGGTGCTCCTTTTCAATAAAGAAATCTTCAAGCAACGTGAGTCAGAAATGAGCGTGCT